TTACAAAGTGAATAGATTTCTACAATGATCATATTCTTTTTGCTCTCTTGATGACTCGAACGTATAATTTTAGAATTAAAAATGAAGGATACTTACTATACGAATAACTTCCTCTTATCATAATTTGAATTTTTCAGATTACCGATACGTAAAAATAAAAACCTCTTATAAACATAACTTTGGTAAATAAAATAAGTGACGTATACTAAATACTTTGGGGTCATGTCTAAAAGCAACTTTATATTTTTATGGATAAGAATGACATATAGTGGAACTATTGAGTTCTTTTTGGCGTCAAATTAAGCCAACAAAAAGGGAAGAAATACATAACATGTACATTAGACCAGCAAAAAGTAGGAATGGCCCATGAAGAATGTATAGTGTATATTATATAATATAAGAAAAATTGAGAAAAATAATAATTAGAAAGTGTAGATGCACCATGTATATATATGGTTTTATTCATGAATTAGGGAAAGACTATATTATATAATATAAGAAAAATTGAAAAAAATAATAATTAGAAAGTGTAGAAGCACCATGTATATATATGGTTTTATTCATGAATTAGGGAAAGACAAGTGTTGAATATTTAAATTATGAAATATGTGCTAAGACTAGATAGAAGAATATTAATAATGATTAAACTGAAAAAAGACATACACAATTGGACAAAGACACATTATTAGTCTAATAGTCCACCAAAAAAGTATATATAATAAAATATCAGATTCGATTTCATTCCAAATTAAATACTTATGCAATGTATTAGGGGTCAAGGGGCATCTACTATTTGGATTAAATTGAAAAATCAAATTGAATGTTAATTTAAATTAATTTTTTGAATTATTGATTTGATTTTAAATTTATAATTTACTTTGTTTATTGTTTTGATTTGGTTTCGAATTAGAAAAATGAAAACAAAAAAAAAACAGAATATTATAAATATATATAATAATAAAATAAGTAATTTTTATTTGATTTAATCTGATTTGATTTTACATTTTTTAAAATAGATAATATTTAATTTGATCATGATTTTATTAAAATAACCCGAAGAAATAATTGTATCAAATCAACAATTTATATAGATATATATATATATATTATTTTTTATGACCGATTTTATATATGTAAAATATAGCACTCTAATCAAAAAGAGTACGATATGATACATCTTTTATTTGTTCGGTAATATCGATACGTTATGCATTACTTATTAAGGTTATGTTGTTTAGTATAATAGACGATTAACTAACAATCTAACCAGGAAGTTAAACATAGTTAGAGTTTCGACATAAGAATTATACGATTCAAAATGGCAAATGAATAATTTATTTCCTTTTGGACTGAATTTTTTCTTTTACTTTTATGTATAATGAATAATTCTACTAATCGAATCAAATCAAACTGAATCGACAAACAATTAAATATAATAATATAATGTATGTATGTACACATAATGATTCAAATCTTGAAGGATTAATTTAGTTTAAAAAGTGATCAGAAGGGGGAAAAAAAGTACAAAACAAGCTACAAGGTATCACGAGAGGAAATAAAGTTGCTACTTGAACAAAAACTCCAATATTATTGATTGGAAAAAACCAAAGTCCAAGTGGACTCATTTAGAGACAAAATTAAATAGGGTCACCTCAAGGATATTTTAAAACTTCAATATTATAATATATTTTTATAATTATAATTTGTATAATTTTGCTGCATAACAAACACAAATATATGTATTTTGTTATACATATAAAAAAGCGGTTGTATATAGCAATATATTTCTGTTTCAGTATACATATACAATAGATTAATTGTATAATTTGTGTTTGTATAAAGCGAAAAAGAGCGAAAGGCATAAGAGAATTGGACATGGGAATATTTGTATAGTATAATTACAAGTGTATATAGGACAAAAATATATGTATTTACATGTATATATACAATCTTCTCTCGTTTTATACGAACAGAAACACATTTATATATTTCCATTTGTATAAGCGAGAGAGGTGAGAGAGAGAGTGGCGAGCAAGATCTGAAAGAGGGGAGAGAGGGGAATGGAAGTATATGTATATATATAATTTTCTCTCGCTTTATACAAACAGAAATACATTTTATATATTTGCATTTGTAGAAAAGCGAGAGAGAACGAGAGTGGCGAGATTCTCCAAAAGAAAGGCGGAATAGCAACAGTTTACTATGGAGTATAATTAAATCAAACTATGTTTACTATATTTAATTTAAATGAAATAATTTTACTATTATATTTAATTTTTTCTATATTTAATTCATATATATACAATATAATTTTAGGACAAAAAATAATATATAGTTGCATTTCAATATATTTATAGGGTGCTGCCAAATGTATGAAAATATATACACCTTAATAATTGCAGAACATCAATCTGTGCCCATGTGATCCACTCTATTTTTCTTTTTGCTCAATTAATTATCTTATTCCCTTCACATTGCGTGTTAAATGAAGATCTTAATTTTAATTATACGTATTAAATGAAGATTTTAATTTTAATTATATGTGATAAATGAAGATCTTAACTTTAATTATTGAGTTGGCTTATTTTTGAAGATTTAAATCTTAATTATTAAATATTTTTATTTTTATTTTTACAATTATTTAATTAGTCTTGAATAAGTTTGTGTGATTAAGATCTATAATAAAGCTTTTATATTATTAAATAGTTAATTAAGAATTTCTACAGAGATGATAATTTATCGTTATTTAACTATTTTCACACCACCCACAATAGTAGTTCCATTGCCACATACCATTCACAATTACCACCCTCAGCCCAATCACAATCATTATTACCGTCGATCACCAAAATCATTCGTCATTATTCGTGATCATTATCAATCATTTGAAATCGTCACCAAAACGACAACAAATATGCTTGATCACTACTATCAACCAATACACCATAAGAGATTATTCAAACCATTATCATTAGTCAACACCATTCCAAATCAACACACAATCACCATCCTTAGTCATAGACGCGACCGTATGATTAGAAGACTTCGAGTACATCAATATTATCTTAGCCCCAGTATGAGCACTAAAATAAACTAAAATAAAAATAGTGAAATAGCATTTAAGTTGGACTCAAACCTAGGTCTTGCGGGTGGTTCCTCGAACTTTTACCAATAGCATAACTGTACTCTTATATATGCTCCTTATGGATGCACCGTTCATTATATCCTAATTTTGTTAGTTTCTCAAGATAGATTTATACATATACACATAATTTTTCTGAAGTTAACGGATGCATGTGCAACTCACTCTGGGAGTGTGTTCGTCTTTGGTTAATTAGTTATCACCACCATCACCACCACCAACTGTCACATAAAAATTCTATAATATTTTTTGATATAATATCATGTCAATTTAATATTTTATTTGAACTTTTTCATTATTTTATGTTTTAAATAAAGATAAATTTTATATATGTAGATGTTAAATAAATAAATCTTAATTATACAATATTCAAATTTTAATTTTTAATGCGATCTTTAATATTTAAATATGTATTTAAATACATACCTCTATATCTTAATCACATATATTTTGACATTTTAATCTACTTCCAAATTTGGACACCTAACTTTGCTTTTCTTGTTATGTTTAAGATAAAGTGATTAGTACTAATTATTAAACAACAAATTAAAGTATAGAGAATGTGCAAATTTGGTGTATAAGTTATATTTTATATTCAAAATGATGTCTCTTTGTTTCCTAACTCGTGACTGATCAAAAAGTTAAAATAATTAGTATCTTATTGAGCCTATAATTAGCTTTAATCATCTTTGACTTATGGCTTGTAATAATGTGAAACAACTTTAAACTCCAAAAAGTTGGTTAGGAATAATTAGGATATTTGTATTTTATTTTTGTCATCAAGGTGGTTGTTATAAATAATTTGCTATAGTTTTGATTAATTTATTGAATCAAAATTTCAACATAAGTGAAACAGATTATTTGATGTATTTGTCTCTATATTTATTTGAACTTAGATCAACAAATGCCATAAAATGGATAAAAAAATATATTCAAGTATTCATCCAATTTATTAAATTATATTAATTTATTTTAATTAGCTAAAAATATGAATCATATTTGTATTAGGAAAAATTACATAAATCAATACATTTTAAAAAATAATTACTGATTTTAGCGATACTTTTTGTTTATGACTATTTATAGCAATGCTTTATTAAATCTGTAATATGTATTAAAAGTGAATATATGAATTATAATTATTTTTGAAATATATCATGTTTGTTTGATAAAAAATTGTCACATTGTATTATAAGTGTATTAAAATGTGTGACAAATATATTATTCATCATTAAAATTTGTATTATATGTGAATAATAAATTATTCTTTGTAACATGTATTAAACTTGTATTATAAATGAATTAAAAATGATCAAATACAAAATATATATTATTACTATAAATGATAAATATTTTTTTGTTATAATATATTTATATAAATTTTCCTTTCATATTATTTGCATATATTTGATGATATTTGGATTTATGTTTTTTTTTTTTACCTAAAATAAATTTATGATCCAATTTAGTCAAAGATTTTACTACCACTTTAAGATCAGTAAAATCTACAATTCAAACAAGTCAAAGAAGAATAATAGAAAATAACTTAATTTAGCTTTAAAAAGTTAATAAAATTAACTCTAGAAAAAAAAATTACATAACAAATAAAAATAATATTGACTATATTTAATTCAACTATCCATTTAACTCCCAAATAACATACTTTCGTTACCTATGGTTTATTTTATACCATATTAAATTGATTATTTTTAAAATTTTGCATCGTATTTTAATTATATCGAATAAATTAAGACAGAGAGATAAAAAAGCGAAGAAATGAATGAGAGTAGTTTTGCCGCCATACCGACCTTAGTATTCTCACACTGACTCTTTTTATATAAATTTCATAACCTTCTTAGATAAGTGTACCATTTCATTTAATGAAAATTTTCATTTTTCTCCATTTTCCACATTTCATTCAATTTTCACAACTATATATCTAGTATTAGTTTGTGTTGTTAGTAAAAAAAAAATGGAAGAAAATAGAGTTATAGATATAACAAGAAGTAGTTTTGAGGTGCATAAAGTTGTGTCACCACCCCATAGAAGTACTTTGTTGAAACTTAAAAATAGGCTTAAAGAGACTTTTTTTCCTGATGATCCTTTAAGACAATTTAAAGGACAAACCATTAAAAAAAAACTGATTCTTGGTGCTCAGTATTTTTTTCCTATACTTGAATGGTGTCCTAATTATAGATTTCACATGTTTAAATCTGATATCATATCTGGACTCACCATTGCTAGTCTTGCAATTCCTCAGGTACATTTCATTTTTATTGTGATTTTTTTTCTTGTTTTGAAATTGATACATATTGTTAACATCCTGTTTTTTGTTTTTGTTGTGGAGATGCAGGGGATTAGCTATGCTAAATTGGCTAATTTACCTCCAATTATTGGTCTTTGTGAGTATTTTTTTTCTTTTTTTTTTTTTGATATGTTATACTCGAGCTGAGTGTATGGTCTGAGGACGTTGATCATGGACCACGTAGTTGGTTTAGACTTCACTTATGAGATTTTATTTTACTGGTGTTGTAGATTCGAGTTTTGTGCCTCCTCTTGTTTATGCTGTGCTTGGAAGTTCAAGGGATTTAGCTGTTGGACCAGTTTCAATTGCATCACTTGTATTAGGATCTATGTTGAGTGAAGTTGTGTCTCCAACTAAAGATCCACTCTTGTTCCTTCAACTTGCTTTTACATCTACTTTTTTTGCTGGATTATTTCAAGCTTCTTTAGGTTTCTTAAGGTAAGAAATCATATACTCTATCGTGGTTCTGTCTCAATTTACGTGACATATTTCTTTTTTTGGGTCAAACGTTTTAAGTTTGACGGAGAATTTGCTTATTGAATCTTCAGTTTTTTTAAAATCTCGAAATTCGAAATGTGTCAGATGAATTGAGACAGATAAGTGCTCAGGAAAAATCTTTTTGTTTAGAAAATTTGACCAGAATGAGAATTTTTTAGTATAATTTGACTTTCTAAAAATATTTTTATTCTATTTATTTTTAATTCTTTTACTAAAAATAAAAAAAATAATTTAATTTAGAATAAAAAAGATATTATGATTTTTTAAATTTTCTCACCATTTAACAACTTTCTTTAGTTGGAACTTTGATTTTTTTTTATTTTATGAATTTTGTAGGCTTGGGTTTATTATTGATTTTCTATCAAAAGCAACATTGATTGGATTTATGGCTGGAGCTGCTATTATAGTGTCATTACAACAACTCAAGGGTCTTCTTGGAATCATTAATTTTACCAAACAAATGGCAATAATCCCTGTTTTAAGTTCTGTTTTCCACACAATTAATGAGGTTGATTTACTACTCTTATCTTTTAACCCTCTTTTTAATCTATAGTTTAATAGTCAATGTAACTGTTAAGTCATTAATTATAGTAGTTTGTCTTTCTTGTGATTAAATATAAAAACTAAATTTTGTTTTTAGTCTTTCAGCTTTTTGGCACAAATTTTAAGAGAATTGGATTTGTGTGTGTCTTTTCTTCATTTGGTTTATGAGAATACTCACATGATGACTTGGATTTTAATGCACTCATGTGAAATCAAGATTCTCAAATGAAATTTGATACGGAATTTAAGAAATAAAGATTTCTTTTTAGAATTTGTGGTCTTGAATTAAAGACGTGTTTTTTTTAATCTTATGATCTTCAATCTGACACGTAGAATGTTGAATTTGAAAAACCTGTTAAATAATATAGAAAGAGATAAAGATGATTAAATTGAGACGGAAAAAGTAGTCAGATTTAAAATGAGATGGTTACGTACTTTGACAAGAAAAAAGAAAATTATAAATGCTTTTAGATCAACTATTAATCATGTTATAATTAGACTATAGTATTTAAAAGTTTATTCCCCAAAAAATTGAAAAACAATTTATTCTTTTTTTAATCATAAGCCCTTCTAGTAATTTGAGTTGACTGTGTTTGAAGTCAAAGTAGTTGACTCTTTTAGACCAAAAAGACTTTAAAGGAAAATATAGTAAGTGCTTCACTTCACTTACATATTACATATTTATTACTACTTCTCTGGCTTAGCACGAAACTTAAAGAAATAATGAAAATCATTTAAAATCTTGAACTTATCATATAAATTATTTAAACGAGAGATGTTTTTTTAGGACAGACAGAAAAAAGAAAGTAGTTTGAAAGGACTTGACTGATGTAATATTGTATGTGCAGTGGTCATGGCAAACTATATTAATGGGATTTTGCTTCTTGGTGTTCCTCTTATTGACCAGACACATCGTAAGTACCGTCGTTTTAATCTTGTAATCTTAAACATATCATATGAAGTGCGATTTTTAAAAATGTAACGCTTTTGAAAACAGGGTATGAGAAAGCCAAAGTTATTTTGGGTGTCAGCAGGTGCCCCTCTTTTATCTGTCATTATATCTACCCTTATTGTCATTGCAATCAAAGGTCAAAATCATGGCATTAGCATTGTAAGTTTCTAAAAACCAAATAATTAATTTTTTTTATTTACTATTATATATATATATATTTGCTTAATCAATATCTTTATTTATTAATAGATTGGAAAATTACAAGAAGGATTGAATCCTCCATCATGGAACATGTTACATTTTAGTGGAAGCTACTTGGGACTTGTAATCAAAACTGGAATTGTCACTGGCATCCTTTCACTTACTGTAAGTTGATCAAGCGACGCGGCTCTTTCATTTTTAGTCCGTCTCGAGAAGAATGTCACACAATAGGATGTTGTCACATACAAATATCTAACGATTGTTTTAGACCAGAAGTTGTAGAAGTCGTTCTTTTTTTCTTAAAATACTGTGTCAAGTCAAATGATGTAACATAAAACGGAACAAAGAGTATATGATGGCGAAACTTGATGTGTTTGTAAAAAAAATTATGTAGGAAGGAATTGCTGTGGGGAGGACTTTTGCTGCTTTAAAGAACTATCAAGTGGATGGAAACAAAGAGATGATTGCTATAGGGCTTATGAACATTGTTGGTTCTTCTACTTCTTGTTATGTCACAACCGGTACGTATATGTACATGATCATGCTCGACCTTTATCATCGATATATTGAGTGTATGTATTACTTGTGATTGATCAGGTTCATTCTCGCGGTCAGCTGTGAATCACAATGCAGGAAGTAAAACAGCAGTGTCTAACATAGTAATGGCAGTGACAGTGATGGTTACACTACTTTTCCTCATGCCTCTATTCCAATACACTCCTAATGTTGTACTCGGGGCCATCATCGTTACTGCTGTTATTGGACTTATCGACATTCCTGCTGCTTTTCAAATCTGGAAAATCGATAAATTTGATTTCCTAGTCTTGTTATGTGCTTTCTTCGGTGTCATATTCGTTTCTGTTCAAGATGGTCTTGCTATTGCAGTAAAGTTTCTTCCTTCCCTTCTTTCGTTCATTACTTTAAGTTTTTTTACGAGTGTTGTTAGTCTTATTATGTTCTGTTTTTTTTCTCTCTTTTCAGATTGGCATATCAATGTTAAAGGTGTTAATGCAAATTACAAGGCCAAAAACAGTTATGTTAGGGAACATACCTGGTACTGGTATTTATAGAAATGTTGATCACTATGAAGAAGCTTTGAGTGTTGCTGGTTTTCTCATTTTAAGTATTGAAGCTCCAATCAACTTTGCTAATGTTACTTATCTTAAAGAAAGGTTAGTACTACAACTCCCCTGCCCTGCATCGCATTACATTACATTTTTCTTCCTTCCGTACTTATGTATTTGCCATCAAAAGGATTTCGAGATGGATACAAGACTACGAGGAGGAAGGAGCCAAGAAACAACCGGGGCTTAGAGTTGTAGTCCTCGATTTGTCTCGTAAGTTATTCCTTCCTTCCATGAGGAAACAGTTCCTTCCAGCTCCACTGTCTTCTTTCTGATAAGAAAAACTTATTTGTTGTCAGCTGTGAGTTCTATTGATACAAGTGGAATCTCATTGTTCAAGGATTTAAGTATGGCATTGGAAAAGAAAGGACTTGAGGCAAGTATCACTAAGTGCTCGTTTGGATTAACTTATTTTTTTTAGATGTTTTTATCTGTTTTACTTTTCAGATGAAATCAAACTACTCTTTAACACTCCCCTTTTTGTATTCTATTGCAGTTTGTGTTGGTGAATCCAATAGGTGAAGTAATGGAAAAACTACAAAGGGCTGATGAAACCAAAGATTTGATGAGACCAGATGTTCTTTTCTTAACAGTTGAAGAAGCTGTAGCTTCACTTTCTTCAACTGTTAAGTATCAAATACCAGAACATGTTTGATATTTTTTTTCTTCTGTTGTTTAAGCTTTTGTAATTCTATTTGGTTCTATCAATCACCTTTTAGATTTACTATAATACTTTTGAATTGTAAAACCAAAAACATTAGCTAAGAAAGCATTATTCATATCAATACAAATAATTTGTTTAAACAACCTCATCCTTACTTGAAAGGAATAGTTATTGTAGTTTATGGTGAAAATCAAACTTCTCTAAGACTGGGGTCCACTGACACCAAAGCTATTGTAATGTATCCAGAAGTTTAACCTTTTTTTTTCGAAAATAATTTCTCTACCTTCACGAGGTAGTGGTAAGGTTGATTTACCCCTCCAGGTTGCACTCATGGGATTCTGTTGGGTATGTGAGTATTTCTTATTCTGTTTCATTCGACATGACATTTTAAAATTTTTAATCTTAAACATGTCGTATAGCAAGGAGTTAATATTATTTCTCAAGCGCTCTCCTATTTCTCTTTCCAAACAACTCATAAGAGTGATTCTTACCATATAAATAAAGGAAGTAAAATGAATGTGAGTTAGCTGGAATCGTACATTAAAACACATACAAGGGGCAAGGACACAAAAATATTTCATTTTTGATTAGAAAACTTTTGCAAGATTGTTTCTTATGCTATGTATGACTCAGATTTGTTGAGCAGTTACAGATTAGTTGGTATTTACAAAGATACAGACACAAATTATACATTTAAAGGGCGATAAATCAGAAGTCGATTAGAAGGAGATCAGTCACCTAATAAAAATGTGACGATCACAAAAAACTATGAAATTGTTCTTTGGTTAAGTTAATGTTCAAATGAACCAGTCACTGATGGTGTCAGGCATTAGCTTTGCTGTATCAACTCTATAACGTTTACTATTGCCTCTTCCTCTGGTAGAGTGAATAACCAACAAATGCAGACATAAAAAACGTCCATAGAACCTGTGATTACATAGTAGAATTTAAGTCAGAACTTACAGAGAGGGAGGGAGGGGGGCAGTCAAGAAGACGAGGAAAATAGTGTACCGTATTAATCATTTGCCATCGTTCAAGCCTTTTAATTCTCGACTGCATGTCTTCTATTACACCATCCAATGGTGAAATCTCTCGACTGGGAGAGGACTCTGAAGATGAACTGCTTCCCTGTTTGCAATACACAAAGCACTGATCAATAAGTGACTGACTAATCATTAAAGTTGATTTCCAACAGTAAGCTCAACCTAGATGTGTTATAACAGTGTAGAAACATACCACAACGTCGAAGTGGTATGTGAGTGAGCTCAACGTACATACTATTACACTGTAGAAGCGTACCATAATGTCAAACTAGTACATGAGGGAAATAGGTGGTGTATCACATGAAGGCATACATGATTCATGAATTAATGGGAAGCACGAGAAAGAGCCTCTTTACTGAAATTGTCAGGCTGTCATCCATACGGCTTTTGTTGTTAACACTTGTGATTCCTTCGGCAAATATTTATTAAAAATTAAAAAAGAAATGAAAATTTCTTTATATTCTCTACAGGCATATAAATCTCTGGAATGGGAAACAACTCCTAGCAAAGCATGACATAAAGTAGAGATTTCCTACATAGATCCTATTCTTCCTTGTGCCTTATCTTTTACTAAATTTGTACAGATCCCAAGAAATTGCAATTTGCAGGTCCTGCAAGACAACTTCCTTTCAAATGATTTCAGGCCTACCTTGTCCCATTCAATACCTTCACTCACCGTGATTTTACATCTACATATCGGTGCATTTGGTGGTCGACGCAAAACACGACCATATTATCTCAAGCGACATTTCATGTTATCCTCGATATGTACTGCTCGATCTTTCTAGCAATTATAATCATTTCTAATCTTGTATGACCGCATATAGCATCCACACTCTGCAACACTCATCTTGTTGATGTATTGAACTTTAGCCTTCCTATACTTACCACATAATGTTGTTGGTAGACATTTTTCTATGATGCAACACTCATCTTGTGGATGTATTGGACTTTAGCCTTCCAATACTCACCATATACCTGGGTAGCATTTCTCCATTTTAACCATCCTATTTTGATTGTATGCGTACATCTTCATTTGTTATTCCATTCTCTTGGAACAATAAACCTAGCTGTCTGAATGTTTATTTGGGCATTGCAATCCCGTTAGTCTGATGTTGTATTATGTTAGTTAGCTCATCCATCCAAGGTTAAGAAGCACTGGTGCAATGCTGATCTGTGGTGTAAACCCACGGTGGTTATGGGAACCGCTTTTGTATATCCTACTACCATTTTCAAGCTAATGATGATTCCTTCATGTCCTTTACGGAATTTTATATTTATGAACTTTTTTTCTCCAACACCCACCAAAGGACCTTGCTAGGTACTAGACATTTGGCAAAGTTTAACCCACTTGTGAGTTTTTCTCTCCAAGGTAGATCGGAAAACAAGACATGTGGCCGCATAAATGATACCTACATCTAAGGGCAATTCTCAAGTTTTCTTAGTGCATAATGTACCCTAATGTGTACTCTCTCTTTACTAAAAGGTGATGATATTCGAAGCACTGATGGTCAATACACCTTATTTTGCTATCAATTGGGACATCAATTTCTAAAATAAATTAAATTAACTTGGAAGACCTTATTTTGCTATTAATTGGGTCAATGCACCTTATTTTTTTGAAGAACGAGGGTCAATACGCAGGCATTAAAGGTAATAAAAAGTATGTACCCAATTTCAATATTTAAAATGTTAAAGAAACTCATATTTACTGTTGATTACCAAAAGTGTGCGCCATCATATTTGGTAAAGAGGGAGTATAAGAGCCAAACAATAGCATTGCATAAAACCCCATCATACCTCAAAATAGTGAAAAAGCATCAGTCAATCACAAACCAAACCAAACCAAATGAGGGTTTGGGAAGTTTATAGTTTTAAGTAAAAGACTGAGTTGGGGTTTTAACCCAAAAATTGAGCAAAAGGACAAATCTGGACAATTTGTTTTAGTTGGAAGAACAGAGATGAAACAAACAATGCTCAAGGTTTAAAGCATAAAAAATGAACAAATTGTTTTAGTTGGAGGGACAAAAATGAAACAAACAATGCTCGAGGATTAAAGCATAAGAAAACCATAATCAAAGGACCAGAGATATTAATTTTCATATTAAAAGAAAAAGGAAAAATTCACCAAGAAGGATCTTTATATAGGTTGAAGAAAAAAGAGAAATAATAAAACAAAACAAAACAAGAAATGAAACCTCATGGATAGCCTAGAAGATTTTCAAGCTTGGAGGAAGACTGAACTATCAGCAGAATTTCTAGTGCAAACCAATTTCAACAACCATTCTTCTTTAATTAAGAAAAACCATTTCCAACAAGGCAACAACCATGTCCAGACCATCGTCCAAGTCAATCAGTAGCCCTACCATCATTAATCCAACAGCCTAACCAAGTTTTCAGATTAAAGGTTAAGTCAAATCTTGTAAATTGTTGATGAAATCCTATATTTGTATCAAATGCTAACTTGAGCCAATTCCCATTTTGATTTGTAAGAGTGAAAAGTAACACTAATGGCATAGTTAAACACAAAATGTGTCTCAGCAAATCATGAACAATGAGAAACTCAGAAACAAATGATCGAAGTAAATATTGGCCTCAGCCACTTCCAAGTTACTACACCATAACAGGAAAGGGCATTGATTATCATGCGTATAAGCAAAACCAAGCTTCAGTGCTTCTAAAGCTTCCGGCTACATTTATCTAATATCAATACATCAATTAAGAGAAGCTAAAAAATTGAGGTATGCCCGCCCGCCAAATAAGATTACCTGAGATTGTATATATTCCACAAGTTCTTGCAGCCTTGCTGCCTGCTGAGAATGGATACCACTTGAACTTCCCCTTAGTGCAGGCAACCTTTCTAGAACTAGTTGAAGATAACTCTGTGAAGAAATTTAGTAAATTAAGCTATCAGTTTGGACTGTTTCTGATGTGAGACAGAACATTCGTCCGATAGTAATAGCAATGTCAAATCAGAAAGAAAAAAAATGCCGGAAGTCAAAACCTTTGTGGTATATGAACCATCTAGTTTGAGTGTTGAGCCAGCGGCTGCCACAACCTCTTTATTGATCCCTTTAATCTGTATGTAAGGACTAGGAACATCTTGTAGATGATCAACCTCTATAAGAATCTGAAAAGAAGAACCCTTTACTTCCCAGACACAAAGTCGCATACGAAAAAGTGTGCCTTAATAGGTAATATCAACTATACATAACACAAAGAAACAAGAGACAGAATATATTAAAGGGTTTAACATTGAAACTAATTGTGAAGGAAATAGAGTGCAGCATATTAGCAGGGAAACATAAATTATCAGGAATCAGTCCTGAAGCACATCAGATAAAAGATAAATGAGGTTCAACAAAATTACTGTGAAACACCTAGGAAGACTACTGAAGACCTAATAGCAACTAAAAAAACTCATATCAGAAGTCACATAGGGATCATGACCGTCTACTATATGCTACAGACTAAAAAGCAGTCACTGATTATCCATCTATTTATTGGATACACATTTAAATACATATGGAGCTTCGAAAACCCAGTTATGTAAAACAAACTCCACAAAGATCTAAAGCTGAAACTGATTCAAGAAGTTCTGAAGTATTCCATGATCTAAACCCAGTCATGACAAAATGTTTGAGTTAGCCCAAGAGTTATTACTAAGCTGGTCTTCATCAGTTTAAGATATAAATTGTATCTCACACCTACATATATCATATATTCCATGATCATTTAAGTCGTGAATACATCTTCCTTTTCTCTTATTTCTCACAGAAGACAATAGACAAGTCTTAAGTGTATTTCAGTATGATAAAAAAAATCCATAAAACTGATAGTACCTTTCCATCTTGGTAGATATAAGCTGAAGCTTCAATATACGCGACTGCTTGATACCTGAAATCAGAAGCTGTGAAGCATAAGAATTTGATTAAAAATAAACTGACTGGGAGAGTGATCATACAAATTGGGATAGAGGAAGTAATACTTATGAGAAAGAATTGAGATAATATGGACTAAGAAGTGTTAAGTGGAAAGGAGGGGGGAGGGGGGGGGGGTTAATCATCACAAAAGGCAGCTAGATTGGATATGTTTCTCTG